ACGGCACCCATTCACTGCAGAGGATCCATTGGTGAGCAGGTGATTCAATGCTACATTTCTCCAAATCTGTTATGATGAAAAAACAAACTCATCAACATTTTGGATAAACTAAGGGTGAGTAAATTTTCAGCAAATTAAATTTTTCGGTGAACTATTCCTTTAACAACACAAAAACATGATATAGCATGGCCACAGACCTGAATTCCTCTGTCTCTGAGGTGCTTGAACATCCCTTTTCTCAATGTTAGTCTGACAAAGAAACATGTAAACCACAGAAAACCATTTCAATCTAAGGATAAAAAGTTAAATAAAAGTATAGTCTGATAATACTACTTTATTAGTTACCTTTGAATTAAAAAGACGAGCCATCTGCTTCTCATAATCCACATTTCAGGTATGTATTCTCTGTAAGAAAGAGATTAGTGAAAATGCATCTGTGTGATTATTACCAGGCACACAACATAGTATGGAAATATTTGGTGTATACTGACCTGTTTATGATTTGTGGCAAGTAGAACTGCAGGAAACTCTCTCCGAGGGGAACAAAAGGCAGAAGACCGGTGTAGTAGAGCAGGAGCAGCTTTAAACCCTGCTTTACAGTGAACATGTAGGGCATGGAGGAGTTCTGCCATTGACAACAAAGGAGACATAGAGCTAAAGAGGTAAGAAAGAGGAAAGTATGTGGACGATTTATTTTTGAAACAAAACAGGTAGAACATAAATGCGCACGCACTGTTTTGCGACAATTTTTCATGATGGTGGTGTCAACAGAAGCCCAAACTGAGGTGGCCTCTCTGTTGTATTTCTTCACAAGATCAGAAATCTAAATAAAGACAGTACATAAAATATAACATTATTGAGATACAAGAACAAAGATGGAGGTTTAGTAAACAGATGTAGTTAAATATGGTTAAAAAATTAGGACAAATATTATGGGCCATTTTGTAGTACATATTGAGTATGATGATTGCTCTCTTGCCTTCTCAATCAGCATGCTGTTATTCTCTTTCACTTCAATGTTTACAGCTATGTGTGGAAATTTGCGGAAGACATCCTCTAATAACGCAAAGTTTCTATCTGACCCAGTGCTGAAGTGGCCTGTGCAAAGGGAATTAAAACATGTATAATCATTATGCATTAATAAACATGTTAATATGTGTTAGCAGTTTCACTGGTAAAATCACACACCTGTCTTAAAGGTCACCTCGAGTGTCTCATTATTAGGTGGCAACTCCTAACAAAAGAAATTCATGATAATTATGAAAAAAGAAAACATTCATTATTAACCAAAACCTGTGGTTTATAAACATTAGCATTCAAATGTTTTTGGTCTGTAAGATTTTTTTAATGTTTATTTTTTAATGTTCACCATTTATTTGACCAAAGTACAGTAAAACAATATATTTAAATGTTATTACTATTTTAAATTACTTTTTTATTTGAATATATTTTCAAATGTAATATATCACTGTGATGGTCAAGCTTAATTTTCAGCATCATTACTCCAGTCACATGATCCTTCAGAAAT